ATGTATATACAATAGGTATTGTATCAGAGACCACTACTGAAGGTCATTCATACATTGCAGCATCTTATGTTAAGTATATAGAGTCTGCTGGTGCTCGTGTAGTTCCTATTATGTATCCATTGTATTGTATTAATGGGAATTGTTTTATTATGTCTAACTACATAATGCTATTGTGTTCACATCATGTAGACTATACATAGTGACCCCTCCTTCTAACATAATAGCCTTTTCACTTGTTCTTATACATCTACTTATGTTATTTCCTTGACAATGATGAATAAAAAGTAATAATATAACACAAGATGAACTGAAGGATTTGTTCGGATCCATTAATGGGTAGGTGTGGCTCATTAAAGGTGTTAATTATTATTATTATTAATAGGGTTCTCTTTCCTGGGGGCGGTAGCTCACTGGTGGAATCAGCTTATCTTGAAGTAGCCAAAACAATATTTGAACTTGCCAAACAGGTTTGAAATACAAGTATAGATACAGAGAAAAAATATTGCATTAACCAGCAAAAATTAGTAACAATTTATTCTATTTTTATGCTCTAACCAGCAAAAATTAGCTGAATAATCCTTATTTTTATAATTTGTTAACATTATGATATCCATAGGCTAATGATGAAGGAGATTATTTCCCGTTATGGGGCACATGTCTTGGATTCCAGCTGCTGTGTGTGTTACAGTCAGGAACTAACCACATATTGTCATCATTTGATTCTGAGGATTACAGCATACCACTAAACTTCACTGATGGTAAATAACATATTAGTGTTACAGTAGCTATGGACTTTGAATATGCTGTTTTCCTGATGCATATACATGTTCTTATGTTGTATATCAAGTTTAAGCTGATTCCAATAAAATTTGAGTAATGAAGTTGCTCCACAATAGGGCTAAAAGTTGCTGTACTATAGTACAGGGATTTTTGACCAAATTTTGCCAAAAATGAAAAGAAGAGAATTCTCAATTTTTATAATTTTTCCTGATACATATACATGTTTTTATGTTGTGTTTCAAGTTTGAGCTGATTCTGATCAAATTTGGATTTTTTATGAATTTTTAAATTTGCTCCAAAATTGGGTCAAAGTCCCTGTACTATAGTACAGGGATTTTGGCCAAATTTCGCCAAAAATGAAAAGGAGAAAATTTTTCACTTTTATAATTTTTTCTAATACGTATACATGTTTTTATGTTGTGTAGAAAGTTTGAACTGATTCCGATCAAATTTAGATTTTTTACATTTTTTTAAAGTTGTTCCAAAATCGGACAAAAGACCCTGTACTATGAATCCTACTTAGTAACACTACCGTGTTACTAATAGTACAGGGTCATTGGTTAGAAAGAAGTCTTAATTTTTGGCCACACTGAGACAACAGTTTTATTATGTTATATTTGTATTTTTATTCCAGCTGCAAACGCTAGTCGACTATTTTCAATGTATACTCCAGAAGGAATGGACTGGCTGAGCAGTGAACCAATCACAATGAACAACCATCAATATGGAGTCTCTCCTGATGTAAATAAATATGCCTACTATTAATAATAATTTTTTATTATTTATTATTTTAGAGTTTTAAAAGTATGTCTTCTTTGACTGAATTTTATACAGTTTTATCGACTAATTTTGACAGAAAAGGATCTGAATTTATATCATCAATAGAAGGTTAGCAATCATTAATAATAATACATTATCAGGCCCATAGCCAGGGGGGTTCGGGGGGTTCGGACGAACCCCCTGTTGTAGCTGCAAAAAAGTTTTAGATTAGCTCCTGTCATGAAGAACAGCACTGCAAAAGCAAGATTAGCATTTTGGCAACAGCGAGGACAGATAGCCATTTTAGCTGAGTCAGCACATGGCTGAGATGCGTAAATTAAGACCACGCCCATTTTCGTCAAAATTTTCGCTGCGCGCTTCGCACGCAGCAATTTCCGAACCCCCTATTTCAAGTTCCTGGCTACGGCCCTGATTATTTATTATTTATTCCTCCATTTTCTATTCTCTCTATTTAGCTATTCATTATCCATTTTATGGGGTCCAGTGGCATCCTGAAAAGAACATATTTGAATGGACAACGGCTGAATCCATCAACCATTCTTATCACGCGGTCTCCATTGCTCAGACAGCTGCTAATTTCCTTGTCAGTGAAGCAAGAAAGAACGAGCATCATTTCACAAGTGAAGAGAAAGAAATGGACTCTCTAATTTATAATTATGAACCAACATATACTGGGAAGGTATCTCACAGTTTTGAACAAGAATACGAATTTTGAAATGTGAAAAACCTTTCTGAATGTTGAGTCCACCCAACCCATTGCCTATTTGCTATGATATTGTTGCAGCTGCTGCTGTTGTTTATTTTGTGGTTGTTTGTTGTTTATTTTTGGAGTTTGAAAGTGAAAATAATATGTAAAAAATTGCAAAGAAAAAGAGAACAGAGTGGGAGTGAGGTGGGGGAGGGAGTGTGTGCAATCTTTTCTTAAAGAAAAAAATAAGAAAATAGAATCTCTTAGTTTAGAGTTTTTCTACAACGGGCGGAGCCGCATTTACAAGGGATTTTAGCTTCTTCAATTGGAAATTTATAATCATAAGTTAATTCTTCACCAGGAACAATCCTAGAGAGAGAGAGAGAGAGGGAGTGATGTAAAATGAAGGAAATGTTTGATAAAAACAATCTCATAAAGGCTGATCCACACAGTACACTTAACATAAGGTAAAGCGTTAAGTTAAGATACCGTATAGCTGGTTTATTTCGTGTGGAATTAATTTTCGTGCAGGCTCAAATCCACTAAAATTAATTCCACTAAATTTTATTAAAACCAATTAAATATTAACAAAAATTTAGCAAGGCACTAAAATTAATTCTAATGAAAATTTAAGCAGCAAAAATTTGAGGCCACGAAATAAACCAGCTATACGGTACATTTAGTCCACAGTTACACATACAGTTAACATACATGTACATGTATAACTTAAAGATAGGAAATGAATGATTCTTTCACTAACCGTCTCAGAGCAAATATCATAATCTTCTTCTGTCCATCAACTG